GCGGACATCACTCCATCAGAACTAGGATGACTAAAATAAACAATAGTAATAGTAATTAATTAATTGTTGTTATTGTTATTATTATTCGTTACCTAATAAATAAATAAAGAGCTTCAAAGGATTCCTTCCCTGAGGTTGGTTCAATATACTTGGATCCTTTCCCTCTCAAAAAGACTTTAGCTCCGGTAGTACTAGTTATGTGACTTAAATAGCAGCCCTAGAGGAGGGTATTATTAGTAACACTGGGTACATGAAACTTGAAAAATTGAAGTTGGAATCAGCTCAAACTTGCTACACAGCATAAGGACATCAATTAATATACATTTGTACAAGTTGAAGACAGTGCGTGTACATTATATCTTACATCTGGTCCCTGGAGTCTGTCCAATAGTCCAAACGAGTTATCAACATCATCTAAACCAATGAACACTTTATCCTGAATGTAGTGATGCTATAAAGAATGATAATTATTATTATTAACCCTTTAATCACACGATTAATCCATCAAAAAGATGGACATTTTTTGTATCTTACCACACTAGTAGGGGAAATGCTACTGGTCGGTTTAATTGGTAGGTGTGGCTTAGTAGCTAATAAATTATTGGGACTGCCACACTCACTCTGGTACATGATATTCCTAATCTTCTGTACTGCAGCTAATTAATAAAATCAATCAATTAATTATTATTATTATTATTATTATTATTATTATTATTATTATTATTATTATTATTATTATTATTGTTATTATTATTATTACCATTAATAAATGACTGATTAGGTGCTTGTACAGATAGATAAAGTGGACGATCACTAAAAATAAGGATATTTTTATTAATAATAATAATATTTATTATTAGTGAGCTTACTCTGTTGTACTGTTGGCTTTCTCAGCTGGTGTCATGTATCGTCCTCTAACAGACACAGCTGCTCCAGTTCCTCTTGAAATTTCGCTCAACGTAGGACCCTTTGTCAAAATACCCCTGGGGAGGAGGGGGCCGGGTCTAATATTTAATTATAATCATTTTGCCCCACCTTGCTTCCGAGTCGTTAATTTCTATTTCCGCTGGGGGAACCTCTTTAGACACGCCCACATTACTAGCGCTAACATCTAAAGCCTTTAATGAAGAATACTCTAAAACCACACCCAGTGTCACGCCCACTAATACCATCTTATTGATTTTCCCCTTGGCCTCCAGCATCGCATTAATACGGGCAGCAGCACAGGCGGCAGACACACTAGGATCAACCTTGTCATTAGTAGAGGAGGAGGAGCTGTTGTCGTCAAGAGGGGCCGCCGGTTGGTCCCATTTTGAACGTCTTTTCTTCTTCACTGGTTCGTCCGCCATTTTGAATAGTTTTACACTCCGTGAGTCACGGGTGTTTATTTCAATGAATCTTGGGCAAAAAGGGGTGTCATAGCGCGTCATAAGAAATTTTCAAATCTCTGTAGCAACGCCATAGCAACAGTAGGTAGGAATGTTTAGAAGCATGTGACCAAAAGGGGAAGCCCCCTGTGGCCACAAAGCAATGCTTACTGTATAGACGGCAAGATGGCCTACAAGAAGATACTTTATTCGAGCTAGAATCACTTACTATTGTTGTTATACGGAA